AAGGAGAAAGGAATATTGGGAGCAAATGCATGATATTGCTAACTTCAGTCTTTCACATTCCTATAGGATGTGTAGCAGCATGCCAGAAAAGTGCCACTCAGGTGGCAATATGGCAGTCCTGCCAACCACTTAGCAGGATAAGTGTGGGAGGACTTTCTTCTACCTTGAGTGCTGAGTGGCTGGTAAATGGTTGCAGGAACGGTCAGGACACGCTGGCTTGTATGACTAGGGACAGTAAGCAGCGAGCAGACCATCTCATGAGCATTGGTGGGTTTTGCAGTGAAACAAAGGCTTGTCTTGTCAAAAGTCAGCTACAAGATGGGAAGGAAAAACCTATTGGAATACTCGGCAAGTAGACTGCATCAGACCCCAAGGGGGTGGGAATGTATTGTAACTGCAGCTGAAGCAGTGAACAGTTTGGATAATGCTTAACCTCCATGCACTGCCTCTGTATGGGCAACTGTAGCAGGACTAAGTCACTAAGCACCTAAAGCCACCAGATATACAGTCAGACGATGGGTCACTTTTTAAAAATAAAATAGTGCAGGAACTTCCCACTGACCCAATTGACATCAGAGTAATGGCAATAGCAGAGACATGGCTTAGGCAGCAACTCAAACGGCGTAAAGGTGTCATGTGCCAAATTGCTGAGGGTGCGCTCTGCCCCGTCACCCAGACCATTAGGAAGGAAGATGTTAAAGACCTAGTATTCACCCCTGGGCAACACCACTAGTTACTGGCCTCCAACTCAACTTGGTGCCGCTGAGCAGCACCCTCTGAGCCTGGCTGATCAGCCAGTTTTCGGTCTACCTCGCTCTGTTTTTCTAAGAGGATGCTATGGGAGACTCACAGACAAACGCAGCATTTTGCCTTTCTAAAGTCAAGATAAACAGCATGCGCTGCTCTCCCCTGACACACCAAGCTGGTCATTTTGTCGTCAAAGGCTGTTTGGTTGTTTAAGCATGATTTCCTCTTACTAAAGCCATGCTGACTGCTCTCAGACCCCCTCTTGTCCTTAATATGTTTGGAAATTACTTTCAGGAGGATTTACTCCCTCATCATCCTGGGAACTGAGGTGGAAGGAGTGACGCTTTCTTTTTCCGAGCACTCAGGCACCTCTCCCAATCACCATGACCTTTCAAAGATAATTACTTGAGAATGGCTTCACAATGACATCGTGTTGGCACACATGGGCGCACCCCATCAAGGCCCATGGGTATGTCCAGTTTGTTTAAGTGCTCCCTAACCTGGTCCTCTCTTCACCAAGGGTAAGTGAAGCAGATGCTTTTCTGAGCACTCTGGGACATCGTTTCTTGGAGGAGCCTTTCTTGAAGGGAAACAGAGCGAAAGGACACTGCCTTCATCCAATTTCCCCTCAAGTGATTAAAAATAATATTAAAATAAATATTGTGATGAATATTTTAATTAATATTTTCTTTTTTAAAAAATCCATTCCTGATGGTCATAGGAGGATATGGAGGTGCTTTGCCTTAAATGCAGGGTGTGGGCTTGCAGCTGAGTTGAAAGGAGTTTTTCAGAATCTGGAAACCACTAGCATGACTGTCAAAGCAGGGTTGGTTTCAGTGCAACAAGCAGTCATTTCCCATAAAGTAATCCTAAATCCTGAACTGCCAGATCCTTAACATAATTTTAGCATTTCGCAGTAACCTGCTACAATTCTCAAGAAAAATCTCAAGCTTTTAGGAAGTGTTGTGCTATTTTTTCTCCACCACTTACATCATCATTTGAGGAGGGAGACAGTTGAGGGGAAATACCAATAAATCAAAAATAATCAAGACAAATGAGACTAAATCACTGTTCCAGACAGTGACTCCAAAACCTACATTTTATCTCACTGAATAAATTCTGGGGGTTAAACACACGGCTCTGCCCACAACAGCAAACCTTGCAAATAATTTCCATTTCCCAGAAAAGCAGAGTTTAAAAAAAAAAAAAACACACACATAAAAAAAGCCAAAAAACAGCTTTGTCTGTTTCTCACTGGGTTTTGAGCAGTACCCAGGAGGGTCCCTGGTGGTGATGCCAGCAGATCTGGACCATCAATTGGGCTTTTGAGGAACTGGGATTTCTGCAACCTCTTCTGAGTGCAAACCCCTCATTTTTGGTAGGAGTTAAGGAATGCAAACAAAAATGAGCAGTTTTTTAATCTCCCAAAACCTGGAAACTGGTGGCCTGTCCTAAGTATTTCCCCCTGCATCTGGTCTAGCAGCTGTGAAGTGCTACACCAGCTTCAGACCAAGGCAGAGTGATGCAAGGTTGACCTACACAAGACTTGTAGGTCAATACAAGCCATGGGTGCGCACCTGAGACCCTCCAAGAGCCACTTGGGAGCTCTGTTGACTACAGCAGCAGTTGAGATGTTTTGTTCTCGTGTTGCTCCGTGCCTGCCCTGGCCATGCCAGGAGCCTGATAGCTGCAGCTCTCCACCAGTGCCACTGTCTCCCATGTGGCCTTCCTGCCGTTCCCATTAAAGTCCACCCTGAAAAAGGAACTAGGAGCAACCCTGTTCTTCAGCAGAGCCCACGAGTTAAGCCTCCAATGTGCTCTAATGTCTTGTATCCAAACTAGCTCCTGTGTGGGAAGGAGGGTAGAGGTTATGGGATGATGCTTCAGCTTGGTTTGGGGACCACCCCTCAGCAGTGCTCCTGGGATTTGCTTTTGGTGCGTCTGCTGGATACATCCAGATGCAATACTTTTGATGGGGTACATGCCCATCCACGTTATTTCTGGGTAGCTCAGTAAACCGTTCTGCCAGCCACTGACCCGGCGTTTTTGCAGTGCGTCCCCCCACAGCCCCCCTCACCGTGATGCTGGGGGCTGGAGATACGAGGGTTTGCCTGTTATGGAGTAGCAAAACCCTGCAGATCTTGAGACCCTGAGGGATTTCTCCTTCCTGGTACGCTAGAGACGAGACTGGTGGACTCAGACCAGGAGGTTTCTCCCATCCTGGCCCCATAGATGCAGCCGATGCTTTTTCCGTTGCAGGTGCAGCTGCACTGCTTCAAAGCTGATAACAGCGGGCTGTTGCAAGGTTGCTCTCCCACAAAAGGTCCCTGAGACCCTCCTTTAAATCATGCAGGGGGCTTGGCTGTCCCTCGCATGACGTTCACCCAGTAGCATCTCTGGAAGACCCTGTCCAGCTTTACTGGCCCAGCTCTCCCCAGCCACTGGGAAGCTTGAGGGAGGGCTAGAGCCATATATTCGTGTGAGCGGCAGATTGACTCGTGCTACAAATGTGTTCATGAGCTGTTTGTTGCAAGCGTTACCCAATGCATTTTCCGTGGAGCATTATTTGCTTTGGAGGAAGCCCCACGGAATTCATGCCAGTGCTGTGCTGGACGGGGGGTTCCTCGCCTGGAAAACTGTGTGGCTTGGGAGAAATTCAGCAATACTCTGCAGAACCCCACCTGTGAGACCATGCCTCCAGGATGGGGGAGTTTTCCACCCCCAGCTACAGGGAGCACTACCGTCCAGCCAGCATCACCACCTCCGGGGTCGAGCATCCCCAGGCTGCCATTCAAGGGGGGCAGCTACAAAGAAAAAGCCTCCGTGTTGCTGGAGCCAGGCATTCGGTGTGCCTCGCAGCCACGTGCCCTCTCCTCTCTGGAGACTTCCCACCACCACAGAGAGGTGGGGGGTTTGGAGCCCCTTTGCTGAGAGCCTACCCACCCCTGAGGAGGCAAACAGGCAGGATTTAGGGCTCAAGCAGCAGGCTCATGGGAAACCACAGTTTTTAAAAAAAGGCAAAACAGCAGAGAACTTTATTAAGCATCAGCATCTCAGTTAATTTTCCCCTTCCACTTCACACCAGGGTTGGTGGCGCAGGAGATGGCAGAGCACAATGTCCCGCGGTCTGTTAAGGGTCCCCAGGGAGAGGGGTGGGCACAGGCTCCCCAAGGCAGAGCATGGAGGGGCCCCAGGAGCCCCATGTCCCAAAACAGAGGTGCAGACTGCTGAAAGGGGTGCAGGAGAGCCCCAGGATGGTGCTCTCACATCGAGGGACCCCAGAGCCCTGCCCACACACGCTGTGGCACCAAGGTTAGGTGACCCGCTGCTCCCCTCCCGGCTGCCAGCAGCGCCGGTGGGAAAACCAGCGCGGACCAGATGGCTGGCTGAGCCTGGGCAGGCGTTTGTCCAGCCTCCAAACCGTGAGCTCACCCCACAAACTCCCCTCCAGAGTCTGTCCAGTCCCTCCTGTGCTGGAAATGGAGAATATTTGCAGCCATTGAAGCCGATTTTCATGTGTGTCCCCTCCTGCACATCCAGAGCCATCCCAATTTGCTCTCCCTCTGTGTCTCTTTACCCTTCTGCACTATCAGCCCTTAATGCTGCAAATCGCCCTCCCCATTGCATTGCTCAGACAGAGCCGGATCCCAGGTTTGTCCAGTTTTAACTCAAGTCCTAGAGATCCTCCTGGCAGCTCCTCCCAGCCCCATCACACCCCGGTGAGCTGCATGCCTTTAGGGCTTACACTTGTTTCCCCAGCTCCTTAAGCCCCAGGAGGCTGTTTAGCATCTTCCTTAATTAACAGCAGCCCGTGACAACCTCCTCATCTCTAAAGTGCAAGAAGGAGGTCAAGGTCAGGCACATTTCTGGGTTCCTCTGCAGAGCAGTGTCACCATCTCTGCCAAGGTCTTGCATCAGCCTTAACAGGTCTAATTTCTAATTAATTGCTCTTCTCTTGTTTCTCTCTGTCACCCCGCAGGCTGCTTCTGTCCTGGGTTTCCCTTGTGCATCTCAGAGCCATGAGAGCTGCTCAAGGGTACCGTTGTCACCTCCTCCACGTGACATCCATTTCCAAGGTGCTGGATGTCCAGCTGCAGGGCTGGAGTCCCCAGGTGCTGCCTGAGGCATCGCTTTTCCTTCCCGTGCTTGCAACCCATTTCTAGCCCCGCAAACCTTGGGCATCAGAGAGGGAGCCCAGACCCCTGGGGAGCACCCATTGCAATACCAGCCCTGGGATGGAGGGGAGGTGCTGGCTACCAGCACGGGGCCAGTGTGTTCATGGGCGGCATGGGAACCCCATCTCCCCCACCAGCAGCATCCCGTCCCCCAGTGCCCCCCGGGCTCTCCCCCTCGCCAGTGGTAAGGGGGGATCGGGAGCTGCTCAGTGCTGACTGCCCAGCACCGGGAGCCATCACCCAGGGCAGGGACAGGTATTTCTGCACCTCGATGGCCGGGCTCCGGCGGTCAGGGTCCAGTGTCAGCAGGCGCCGGAGCATCTCCAGCGCCCCAGAGCTGAAGCCCCGCCAGGACACCGGCACCGCCTGCCCTGCCGCGCTGCCCTGCCAGGCGCTGAAGTCCTCGAACTGGGGGTCGGAGCTGGTGGCCACGGCCCAGGGGAAGCAGCCAGTGCAGAGGCAGAAGAGCAGGACGGCAAAGGCCCAGACGTCCAGGCTGGAGTCCAGCTCCAGCGTGTCGGAGCCCTGGAGCAGGCAGAGCTCTGGCGGGGCATAGGGCAGGGTGCCGGACATGGCACCCACTGCTGAGCCCTGCACGCGGGTGAGCCCGAAGTCACCCAGCTTCACCCGCCGGCACTCGTGGTCAAAGAGCAGCACGTTGTCCAGCTTGACATCCCTGTGCACCAGGGCACGGCTGTGCATGAAGTCCAGCGCCTCGGCCAGCTGGGATGCGCAGCGCTTCACCAGCTCCTCTGCCAGGCCCTCCTGCAGGCAGAGTGACACCATCGCCCACCACACAGCCCCCTCCCCAAAGGGGCTGCTGCAGCACCCAGACCTCTGCCCAGCACCGCCAACATGTGCTGTGCCCCACAGCAGCCTGTAGCCACATACCTGCACTGCAAAGTGTCTCCCCACACACAGCGCAAGCATGCACCCCACTGCAAAGGGTGTCCTCCCATGCATGGTATCACTGCACCCCACTGCAAAGGGTGTCCTCCCGTGCATGGTATCACTGCACCCACTGTGAAGGGTGTCCTCCCATGCATGGTATCACTGCACCCACTGCGAAGGGTGTCCTCCCATGCATGGTATCACTGCACCCCACTGCGAAGGGTGTCCTCCCATGCATGGTATCACTGCACCCACTGCGAAGGGTGTCCTCCCATGCATGGTATCACCGCACCCCACTGCGAAGGGTGTCCTCCCAAGCATGGTATCACTGCACCCCAGGCGAAAG